AAAAAATTTGCACACATCGCGTTTAAAGTGTTATTCAATGTATTGGAGAGACCGCGATGGCCACGAGAGAAACTCGTGTGACACGTCCAAGGCCATCTTACGATGTTCCGTAGACCTTATTGTGTTTTACGTGTGAAAGCATTCTTCACCTACAGCGCCCGCTTTTTTGAACAGGCGTTTCAATCTATTCCAATATGCTTTCATGGCATTCGTATGTTCAACAGAAGTGACACTGACAACATACATAAAATAATTTAAAGTTACGAAAATTCCCATCAGAGAATTCAGTAGGGCAGTTGGCGAGCGTACGCAAGCTTTGGATAAATTTTCATCGGGCCAGTGCACTTATATGGGAACGGGATACGAGTTAGAATATGCGGTAAATAGTGTTCGTCTGTTCATACAAGTGAATTGTGGGAAACGGGGAAGGGGGGTATGTGGTTGGAATCGATAAGAGAAAGCTGAGAACGCGGCGATTGCCTACGTTGAGCTACGGGAAACTGTATTTAAACTCCGCTCTTCAGCATGTAGGGCCCAGGACGTGCAGGACATGACTAGAGGAGGGTTACGCCTCGTCAGTAAATCATCGCACGCTTACCTTGAAAGGTCTAGACTTTATATTGTATTGAGATATCGTGAGCGTGAAAAGAGGTTGCGATTTAGGTGCTTCGAAAGTCCTAATCCCTATGATTTACCATGAATACAAGTCACCACCGTGTACTCGGAAAGGTTATTAATTCTCCTCGCTTGCGGCAGACTATTAATTCATATTTGTGGGGACAAAAATGAAGTTCAGCAGCGGCGCCTTCAACAAATGAGCGACTGTTGCCCGACAGGCTACATCCTAAAAGCCTAACGTTTCTGAGTTCAGCATACAAGCTTCAGAGCGTTTTATGTTACAGCAGCTGATTAAGTCTAGGTGTACACGGAAATTACATATGACTAACAAACTTTTGAAGAACAGAAGCGTATATGAACCGGACAGAATTAATGCGCCAAACGGGCAACTAAAGATCACACTTAAAGCATCCCATGCCACACCTATGCATAAAAGCAAAATGTAGGTTAAATTTATATCTTGAAAACGTCATGACTGAGATCGGAAGCCACAGTCGTTACAGAACTAGCGGTAAGACTGGGTTAAAAAACTATCTCGCATAGTTATTCAGACATCGTTATGATCCGAGTGGAGTAAACGGAGCAGCAATTTGTAGTGTCTGACAGTAAAAATGGAGACATCAGCATTGATGAGGCTTAAAAGTAGGTTGGTGAGGGTTGACGCCGGAAAGACAGGAACTGTCTGTTGCAGGATACCCACGCCCTCCCCCCCAGTCGGTTTTTAATTATAACTACCTGTCAGTTAGTCAGAAGCTTTCAGGTCTCATTACTATCGCACAGTGGTATTGCCCCCAAACGCACCTGGGCACCGATGTAGCAAGTGCATCACTCATAAAAGGGCGGAATCCGCTATACTATCAAGAAGTAGCGAGTGTTGCTAGAAGTC